TTGATATGTTTACCTTTGAGTTTTTGAAACTTTCTCATTTTTCTTTACCAGTTTCTTTGATTTTCTCAATTCTCTTAACCTTTTTACTATTTTGCTCTTCAAACCTTTGTTGACTTCGTTAACTAAAGAAATAGCTTGTTCATGTCTGCATTGGTTGGCAATTCTATTTTCATGTGTAATATTGCTCCCTTCGACGTTTTTTACATTTCATTTTCTTCTCAGTCTGTTTTATAAACAGGAGCTTTGGTTGGTTGATCCCGAATGGTTGAACTCTCCTGGAAGTAGGTAACATAGTATCTGCTCCATGTACCGTTTTAAGATGCCTACGGAAGTTGTACAGACGACTAAATGCTGTGCCACACCAACATTTGTGATCTTTTTCTGTGGAATGTACAACAATATGATGTTTCAAAGCCTCGTTTGTTTTGAACTTTGATGGACACAAACTGCATATAAATTTTCTTACATCACTATGTTTATATGTAAAATGAAGCTTCAGAGTTGTCTTTGTGTGAATAGCAGATCCACAGATATCACATATAAAGTTTCTATCCGATTCAAAGTGGTGTTTGAGATGGTTTTTGAGACTACCTTCATAACGGCTCTCATAGTCACAATGCTGAAAACTATACTGCTTTTCATTTGTATGGCATCTCTTCTGGTTCGGTAAGACATTTTTTTCTGTGAAACACAGATATACTTACATAAAATGTATCATTCTAGGAAAAATCTTATTAAACTATGAATTTTTCAAAAGATGTCATGCAATTTGTTCTGGTTTTTGTTTCTTTTTAATTTGATTTTTTTAAACACTCATGATTGTTGTTTACTGAGACTTAATTTTAGAACATGCATAAACCTGAATTGATGGAAATGTCAATGATATTGAGGTGAATCAAAAGCCCAACAGCAAAGACACCAAAATCCATGAAATAATCCAATGATACCGGTAATCTGTTCAGATGAATTGCTTGTACCTTTTTGACAACTGTTTGACAACTTCTAGAGTCTTTTTGAAAAACTTATCTTGTTTGGCTTTTCATTAATATTTACACCTGCATCATACTAGAGTTGTTGACATATGGTAAGTGCCCCATGCTGAACTGAAGTAGCTCTTTGAGAGTAAGATATAATAACGAGGACTTCCGTGTATTTCCTGATCTTAGAATGTCAGCCTTCTAGGTTGTTGGTAGCTGCGGAACCGTAGCTCTTAGGTCCTTATGTTATTTTTTGACTATTTGCGGTCCGCAAATAGTCAAAAAATAACATAAGGACCTAAGAGCTACGGTTCCGCAGCTAGGTTGTTGGTAGCCCTTGATCTTTTTATTCTGTTGTGGTTTCACAAATGACAATGAGTCAATGTAAAATGTTCCGTCGACGTAGATAATTGTAGCTACTGCAAGATGATTTAAGTTAGTCTAGGTACTGAAGATAAGTATGTTATCTTGTTCACCGTCGTCACCAAGTAGTCGGTATTCTCCAAAGGAGAGGCGAAAGATACCAAATGGACATTAAAACTCATAAGTCTATATAGTTTCAAAATAAAAAGTTGAAAATATGATTTTGGTTTTCAGCGAGAATTCATATGTTATCATTGCCGCCACGTATGCATGTTCTAATCACCATGCTAGGAATCAGAAAATATGTTGTAAAGATCGGGTTTGCAGCTTTAAAGGAAAATAAGTCAATCAAAATTTAGAAATAGTGGCGACCATGTTTAACAACCGTAAAGGAATGAACAAATTCTATAACGAAAGCTCCATATATTACCAGTGTTAAGATTTATCACTCAAGCGCAAGGAAAGGTTGAGTTATCTTTCTTTGCTAGTAAGTTAAGTATGTCTATTATAAAAATTGCTAGGATAAAATGTAGTTGACAGTGTAATCACAATTTTTGTTTATTTAATCTCAATTCTTTTAAATTTTATATGTGAACTATTTTCCCATACCAGAGACATATTTTCCTTGGAGTTCGGTTTTTTGTTATTTTATTTTTTATAATACATTGTATCAGAGACATATAATACATTATGTATTATATGTCTCTGATTGTATTATATGTCTCTGTCATAGGCATAAAATAACGTAACAAATAATCAGCATATTCCGTAAAATTTTGAGGCTATTCCGAAAATAGGCATCTTGCCACTGGTACCACTAAAAAAACTATATTTGTATCAAAAAATATTTTTTCTGAAAAAAATAAAATTTTGATGCATGTGTTAAACTTATTTGATTGTATAGCAGTGAATTTTGGGCTTCTGTTAGTTTAGTGAAACAAAATACTACCATACAGTCGATCTATACAAACTCTATTCCAAACAAGATTCAACACAAATTTGTGATTTGGATGGGACTGCCGCCCCAGACCCCTTGCTTACAAGTTATTTTCAGTGGCTAGGCCACTGTCAACATGGTCAACTATAAAGTAATAATTTAGTATAGGACTATCTCCCTATTTAATATTTTTGTGATGAAAATTCCGAAAGGTTTTGCCAAATACAGCTTACATTATCTATTTCCGAAGGCACTCTAGAACAAAATGCAGTTCATTTTCTATTAAGTTATGTATACCATGTATACAGTGTTGAGCCTTTCACATGTAGGCAGAAGCTCCATAGGTTTGCTCATCGGTATTCCTATACTAATATACTAAGTTTGAAAAAAATTGTCACATTGACCTAACAGAAAACACTATAACGGATTCGTGACATAGGGATTACAATTCAGCGTTGACGTAAACTAATGGTAAAGCTTTATATTTCAGAGAGTATAATACCTGGATGCTTCATACCTTGTATACAGATGTCTTATGTTAATAAATGGGTTCTTTGCAAGGTCTTCGTGTCTGTCAGACAGAGTTCACCGGACCTCGACCTCATTTCATGGATCATAGTTAAAGTTACACGATTAGGTCCGTTCCTCAGATTCTATAAGCAGTAGGTCAACTATATTTGGTGTATGAAATGGTTGTAATGTGTACATGTCAGTCTGTCAGGTATCATTTGACATTTGCCTCAATTTCATAGTTCGTTGTTTATTTTTCCTGGTTAAGTCTGTTTCTTAGATGAGGGTCTGGATTGGGTTTATAGAATAGAGAATAATGGACATAAAAGTGCAGATTAACGGTAAAAAATATAAATAATAAGACAAAAAAAATTAATAAAGAATAGAAAATAATGGGATGCTAAATAATAAAGAATAATGGGCAAAATAAAAAAAAGAATAAAGAAAAAAAAAACAAAAAATAAAGAAAAAAAAAACAAAAAATAAAGAAATGAAAAACCAACACCCAGACCCTCTTAGATACTTTAAGCAGTAGGTTTCCTATATTTGGTGCATGGAATGAATGTAAGGTGTACATGTCTATCTGGCAGGTATCATCTGGCCTTGACCTGAATTTCATAGTTCATTGGTTAATATTTAGTTCTAATTGTTGCATGTTAAACTTTTCCTGGTAAGTTTGTTTCTTAGATATTATAAGCAATAGGTAATTTTTTTTTTGGTGTATGGAATGATTGTAAGATGTACATGTCTGTTTTTGCAGGGTTTATATATACCTTGACTTCATTGTCATAGATCATTTATAATGTTAAGTTTGGTAGTTAAACTTAAATCTTTAAAACTCTCAACATAAAATCAATTATGATGCGAGACATTTGTGTGTGTGCACTCTTTTTGATCTTAGCTGGAATGGAAAGTATTCTATTGATGTAGTTTCATACATTATTCGTGTTATTTTTTCTATTGAATTTAGGTAGTTTTAGAGAAGATGAAAATATCTAACCACATAGAGCTTATATGGAAAATTGAATAACACCTAATCAGAACCAAACAACAGGTTTCCTTTGTTATGTTAATTTACAACTTTACTTCAATTAGTCAATGTAGAGCTTCATATTGTATAGAGACTTGTTCATTATTAATTGACGTGTAGGCTACACCTATTTTATCAATATCTGAAGTGTGTTTCAAAATGTTCAAAGTTATTGAGAGTGGCATTGTATCTTGTTAACCATACGTCCTGCATATACGTTATTGCAATGAACATATGGTCCACAAATTAAATGAATACAATTAGTAATGAAAAAACATAATAGTATAAAAAAACTAGAGGGACAGAAATAGTATTGGCAAACAATATATGATCCAAAAACAAAAGGGACAAATATATAGTAACAGCAAATAATGTATTGCCAATAAATTGAAGGAATAACTTATAGTAACAGCAAAGCATTATATGGTCCAGACACTGAAGGGACATCAAATAGTAATGGCAACAGTGGTTGTTGTTGGTTCATATCTATCATTTTTTTTTTGTAAATTGTTTGGTTATAAATTAGGCCGTTGGTTTTCGAATTGTTTCACATTTTTCATGTCGGGGTCTTTTATAGCTGACATACAGTATGGATTATTTTCCTTGTTGAAGGCTGTACAACTACCTATAATTGCTTACATCCACTTCATTTGAACTGTGGTGGATAGTTGTCTCATTGGCAATCCTACCACATCTCCATATTTACATATATGGTTCAGAAACTGAATGGACATAAAATAGAAATGGCAAACATTGTATGGTCCAGAAACTGAAGGGACATAATATAGTAATGGCAAACATTGTATGGTCCAGAAACTGAAGGGACATACTATAGAAATGGCAAACAATATACTGTCAAGAAACTAAAATGGGATAGATAATACAAATGGCATACAATACATGGTCCAGAAACTGAAGGGACATAACATAGTTGTAGTTCTAGTCCCTGTTGTAGAGAAGATATCTGTCTGGAGTTTTTTGGTATGTCACAATTATGTTCTTGTAATAGATGCTGTTTTTAAAATATGGTGTATGTTTCTCTGTTCATTTCTACTTAGGTGGGTTAGGGGAGAATATTCAAATTTTTACATTGAAATGCATTTAGTGTCTGTGTCTGCATGTTCTGAAACTTACAACAACTAGTCTTTCATGGCAAAAACAAAAACAATTAAAAAATCTAAAATATTTTGATGAACTTTAATATCATTAAACATGTTAAAGCTACATGATAAAAACTTCTGTATAAAATGAACAATGGAGTAAACAAAATATACTGATATTCACATGTGTATGGACATCATTTTAGTCCTATACAACAATATATGATATGGTATAATGAAAAAAGACACAGGTTATTGCATAAAAGAGGTCATTTCCTTACTAAATGAAAAGAAAAAATAAAAGCTGAGAAAAAATGAAGTGAAGTGTTTGTTCACAAATACGTACAATATTATATTTCATGACGTTCGAGTAAACAATAAATGACTTAAAATTTTCATTTACAGAAAACAACATTTATAATAAATATAATATTTCTGTATAAATTATTACTGTTGGTAAAAGAGTATGTAATGATACAATTGTCAAATTAGCTTGAGGACACTTGAGGGAAACCCCTGAATCATTAATATTTTGACAGCAGTATATTAACAACCTAATTACACCGTCACAATTATGACACTTTCTATATTTACAACGTCAGGTTTAAAAAAAAGATATTTATGAAGGACAAAACAGGTAATATAAATGACTGATATGTTTCTGTAACCTTATGCTATAGTGTATGAACTTAACAAGAGCACCGATTTGACACAATTGCTTTGCATACATATGATATAAAAATCTATAATTGATAGACCTTACCGAATAAACTTGTTACATAAATAATAATTTTTCAATATAATCATCCTTTCACCTTTGAGTTGATCTGATTAATGAATCAATGAAAATTTTACAGGTGAGCTTAAATTTGACTCAAGGAAATAGAAAAGTATAACCAAAGATTTTGTTTATGTAAAGCCCTGCCACTGTCCCTTTCATTGTCTTTAAATGAAACAATTTATCTTGTTAATGGTAATGATTCCTTTAATTTGTCAAACTTCCCATGTGTGCATACGTGTGTGAAACTGCTTTCATTAGTAATTGAAACAATGTATGGCATGTGCATAGTATCAATTTAGAAAGAACAAATTATACTTTGATTTTCAATACATCCTACAAAAATTGAGTTTTTGAATCATTCAGCTGGCTTATTTTAGATCTAGAACAAATGACTTAATAATTGTTTAAAATAAATTTAAAAAAAAACTGCTTTTACATATATAGTAATGACAATGTTAACATATATTGTGCAAAAATGTGCACATGATGCATCCTATTAACTTTGTGACCTATGTCTTATTAACAAAATATATCATTAATTTTATGCTGAATTGAAATAACTAATTACTCATTTTTAACATGACATACATGTAGGTTGACAGAAACAATGTGACATTGTTGTCAAGGCACTATAAATGAATTAAATCCCCAAAAACCACAGGAAATAGAACATAATATACATAAATACTCTATAATAAATGCAATACTTAAGAATGAAACATGTGTCTGCATAAAATGTTATAAGTCCAGTGCTATAATACATATTAAAATAAAATGTGGTTTGTGTAAGAATTTTATTGCTAAGTGTTGTACAAATCCATGGTAAAAATGGGACTATTAAATATTTATATATGTTTAATTAAGGGCTACACCTGACACAGCATGGCATGACTGAAGCATGTCAATAAGGGAAAGTTCAACAAGTGTATATTAATAGCAAGTGAAGATATAGTATTGTGCTCCACCCAAATAATACGTTGGGTCCACTTTATAAGGGCATAAGCCAGTTGAAATCTTTATACCTCAGACACTGCTAGGGAAACATCAATTTATGGACTAAGCTAAGCTAAAGTGTTATATTTTTTAATCTCTCTGTTTAATCTCTGGTCAATATACCATTGCTGTAAAATCTTAACCAAAAAGAGTGAAAAATAAATCTCTATGTAACATCTAAATTGTGATATTTTGCCACTTATCTCCTTTATAGCTCAGAAAGCATATGCACTACAAAAATTTGGTAGATTTACCACTAAAAGCTCGCATTAGGTGAAAGTAATTGGAAAATAAAATTATAATTGGATAAATAATGAGAGGTCTTAAGACAGCATATCACAAGTAACTATTTTGGCTCATTATAGCTTGGCAACTGTAACAGCTAATACAATTCTCGTTGGAAAATACCCATAATGCAAGCAGAGTTTTTATAAGTACCTATGAAAATCAGTCTTAAATTTAAAAAGTGTTAACCGGTTTGTTCCAGTTTGTGATTATGTTTTATGCAAAGAAACATTTTCTTAAGGATTTTTCAACTAAAACAAAAGATATTACATGGAAATCATCATGCCTATATCAGGGGGTAGATTAAAAAAACAATACCAATGTCATATAATGATATGCAGAAAAATTATGTGGTCATATAAAAATGGGACTAAATATTATGAAAATGTGAAAGAAAATAAATAACAAACATTTATCCACCAGAAATTACACTGGAGAACCACAAACACAAACAACTTAAATAAAATATCATTTAGTCTGAAACTAACTTTTTTGGTTGTTATTATCAAATTTAGTATTTTATTTAGTGCTAAGAACATAGTAAAATTGTCTCCTCTTTGTAATTATTACTAGTAAATTTTAATGTTGGTATATGTGAGCATTTTTTTTCTCTCGAAGCATTCAATTTTTAATACTGATAAGGCAAAATATATGTTTATATATTTATTGCAAAAATCTTGATTAAAACATACTTTGCTATTGTTAGACTAACTAACATTGAAACATATTTAATTTTTTTTCATTTTAAATCAATTTTTAACAAGAATATCAAGGATTTTTAACAGCAGATAAAGAAGAAATTCATATGCAGCATTTCATTGCTGGAAATGTCAAAATGAATTATTTCAAAGTGAAAAATGAAAGTATATACATATATATGAAAAATTCAAACATTGCATACAATATATAATTATGAATAATGACAATGAAGATTAATTTCTTAAAAGAAATAAAACTATCCCAACAAATTTGTATTTACATTTGTAAAACACTATTGCACACTTCTAAAATTCATATACAACCTATATATCATACAAACAAGGTCAAGAATTAATTACAGTTTAACCTTGAATAAAAAAAAATTGAGCCAAATGTAATGGATGTATTCATTTTAACAACATCTTGTCAGTTAATTTCCAAAATATTACTAGAATAATTCTTTAAATGGATTTTTTTTTTAATAAATAAGTTTTGATTGAATCATTCATTGACAGAGATATACTATCTTTCACAATTTCAATGTGAAAATCATCATGGAAATATCTGAATATGCAATCATCAATGATTCACTACCAAAACTTTCAAACTTCTGGAGACTAAAAATAAAAACATAATCAATAACAGCTTTGGAAAATAACCAACCAAATGTATAAATGGAATCCATATTCCTTTCAGAATTCTTATCTCACAGCAATTTAAAGTTCTTACTATCAAACTTTCTTTTGCCAAATGCAACACATTTGTCTTATAAATGTCAAACATAGTTACATACATGATATGAACTTAACAACCTTGTCAAAAAAGATTATGCCCTCTACATACCAACTATCATAATTACAATGAAACTGATTGTTTTGTTTTGTGTTTTTGTTGTGGTCACCCATATTTCGGAGTTGTTTACTTGAATTAAATCTGTCCAAATGTTGTAACATACAACTTGAAAGTTCAGTGTATTTAATCATTGATATCAAATTTACCTTATTAACAATATCTTTTTCCAAATCAAAATATAAACTGTTTTATCAATAATTTGTTTAAATTTTGCTTATTATTGTCAATATGAATAGATAAAATGGATAGAACTTGTGCCAATCAGCATGGGCATAGATACAGTATCTAAGTTCTACTTAATATTTAACCTAGTACGTAAGTCATAAATGTTAATATTTTCATTAGTTGAACAGTCCATTCTGAATTTTACTGTAAAAATCATCATGTGACTATCATGTGACCATCTAGTAGGTGAATAAACATTGTTATTAGTTAAAAATCCTTCATTGGCAATGTTTCCTTAGATTGAAAACTTGCGGAGTTTCTAATTTCCATGTACATCCTTTTTCAAATAACAAAAACATTGATTTGAGCTTGTCAGTTATGGTGGGTTGAAAATCTAGAATTAAAATTATCTAGAGAAACAACGACAATTGACATAGAATTTATTTTACAACAAGTTGTCACTGACTTGCAAAATTTGCAGCATGAGCCATCAAATGGCTTTAATGACAATGCTTTTTCATAAAAGAGATTTTGAAAAAACAAACCTATCTGTCAGAGCGAAATGCGAAACATGATAGATCTATCCTCTCATTTACATATTCTTTAAAACTAAGAATACAATATACATTTACAAACTTATACAAATACTGTTTAAGTTGAGATTCAATATCAAAACATTATCCTATCTATGCATGTAATTTTCATTTTTTACAATTGCAATCCTAATACTTTGTAGATTATTACAATCAAGTACATTTCAAAATTTTCTATGAATATTATCCTCCAAATGAAAAGTGATCCTGTAACATCCATTAAGTGAATATTAGCCTCTAAATGAAAAACAACCCCCTAAATACCTGTTAAGTGAATAATTTCTTAATATTTTTCAAGGGTCAAAAAGTATTGCCAATATGAATGTAAGTGGTCATAGGGTTTACATCAATGAGACAGCAACCCAAAAAATACAAAAAAAAAATCCAACAAATAAAAGACATTCATGTTGGATGTTAAAGAGGAGCTTTAACAAAATCACAAAATTCAATTGCATTTCAATGAAATGGCAATTCATATAACATGTCTATGACATAAAATATAGAAACTTTTAACAATAATAAAGTGAGGTATTTCTATTGCGTCATATAACAGTAGTCTAAACAATCAAGACATACTTAGTTAGAATACATCATGAAAATTTCTCATTCAGCTATACAAAGTATTGATAAAATACTGTTATAGATGGTATTTGGTGATCCTTTAGCATGTGACTCATTAGTTTGAAAGTTATATTCAACTGGGTGTGCTGTATTTTAAACAACTTCAAAAATAGCATTCCAGAATATGAAATTGTCAAAACAAAAAATTTATAATAGATGTTATCAATACTAAATCATGACAATAACATACAAATGTGTGAAGCATTTTTGTACAATCTGCAATAAGAACCTGTATGCTGATGATGAAACTATATATTTTAAATTCATAGATGCAGAGCATTAAAGGTTGGTTTTAATGTTGCAAGTTCTTGTCACTTTTTTGTACAGTATTTGTCTTAAAGACAATCACATCAATCTCAGTTTATGCTTAAACACATCTTAACATAAAATACTGGTTTCAATAACTTATACTGCAGTTATATGTCCCGATTACAGCCTGTGTATATATAAAAATATATGTTTGTGTGCAAAAAATCCCTTTAGTAGGACCATCCATTCACCATTGCTTCACTGTAAAACTAAGCAGCATTGGTCCACCTTTCTCAGTTTATATACTGGAACTGGTACACGGGACTGTTGTTAATGTGCAATACAAAATACAAAGGTTGTGTACTAAATGCACATGATGAGAAGAACTCCATGAAATGAGCAGTAATATTGAGCAGTCATTAATCAATCATTGATTCAATATTACTATATGATGCTGTTCGTGAAAATGAGTAACCTGTGAAATCTTCCACAAAACCTGACGTTGTAATATCACCTTCGCTACCACGTTGGTCTTTATTGTTATATTTCTTGAGACTTTTTCTTGAACCTCTGTTATCGTTCTTGATATAACCTTGGAATGTGTCACCATAGCTACTAGCACTATTAATTCTCCGTAATGTTGGTTTTTCAACCATTCTCTCATGGTCCAGTTTCTGAATCTCATCAAGTCTTGCTGCAATATCACAATATAATGTTAAACCATGTGATCTGAGGAATTCTGGGATAGTTCTCAAACAACTGTCTATTGGATTACATGGCTTCAGTGCTAATGATTCATCAGAATAGCCTTCATCTGTATGGTCCAAATCCAAATCAATCTCAGATAATGGTGTGGACATTTCTTTCTTCCATGGAAGAATTTCGTTACTAAAGCGGACCAAGAATTTTCCACACAAGCCGATACAAATGTCCTGTAAAGCCGTGTCGTGACCTGGTTTGAAGAAATACTGATGTCCTGTACTGTTTAATATGATATGATTGATGTCCAGAAAGTCTCGTGAATTCCACTTGATTCTTTGTCCCCATGTCTCTCCACTTTCATAGTAGTGGATCTTGAAGTCAAACTTATCTGTAAAAAGAGCAGAGATTTGTATCAGCAATTTAAAAAGCCTGCATGTTCTGTTGTCTCTTCATTATCTTCTGCAAAGCATTTTTATCCAGTTTTGAACTAAAATAATAAGTTCTTTTTGTACTTTAGAAAAAAGTCTTGCTTTTGATTTTACATGTGATGTATATGTTAGTCATAAGCTTTAGGTACTCAATTTAGGTTTCAATAAGTAGTCTTTTTACTTGTCAATGTCAAAATCAGAGAAAAGTTTTAATTTTATAAGTTAACAGACCCCTTCCAACTTTTTTTAAGACCTGATTTACCATAATCTATCAAAAATTGCAGCATTGAACATCATCACTATTAAAACAAATCTGGTATAATTGCCAATTTGACAACTATCCACAAACGATCAATTGTCGAGGATGTTAGCAACTCCTGTATGTTTAAAGACAAAAATATTTATTTATGGATAACAAAAATTTGTGGATTTGTGCCTATAGGTTAACCACAAATTCAAAATGTTCAACGAAATACAAATTTTCTTGTATACCGACTTTGACTAAACCACAAAATCAAATATCCACGAAAAATTAATTTGTCCGTAATCCATGAAAATTGGTACATGTATTAACAAATATAAATAGATCAGTATGCCAAAGATATTTATGAGTTTTAAGTCTAACTGTTTTGGATAGTTTTCGTTTTGTATTATAATGGTACAAAAGCTTATGTCATTATTACCTGAGCTTCTCCATTTAGCTGAACACAAACAGTAAGGTTTAGATCCACAAATCACTAGTAAGCCAAGTCTAAGATGTGGCGCTGTCTGAAAATAAAAAAAAAATCATTTCAATTCATTTATTTCATAGATTTCATCATGTATATATTTACCAAAGGATTTATAACTAATATGAGTCCTTGATGTACTCAATTGTCTTTGGGGGAAAGTTCTTCCTCATCAAGTATGTAGACAGTACTACATGTAACCAACTGTCCTTGAGGAAAACTATTATCACTGCAATTCAGAGATGTAATTGTGTAATACAAGAATTAAAAATATTTTTTGACGAATTCTTATTCATGAACAATTTTGATAAAGTTCTAACACTCATGAACAAATTTGGTAAAATTCTTACACTCATGACTAAATTGTGTAAAATTCTTATACTCATGAACAAAATCTGATGAAATATACCATCAACAAAAGAACATGGTAAGGATTATAAATATGCAATTCAACACATGTACTTTTATTTGACACCATGTGCATTTTATGAATCATTTATACACAAACATCATTAATCAAGTTTAACTAAATCTTGTCCAATGCATTCTTTATTGTATTTACTTTTGCTTAGACCTTCATGAATGGAATATGCACTAAAGAACCAAAGCTTCTTGAAGGACTTTTCAGTGTATGTGTCCTTTCTTTCAAGAATATGAAATCTTCTCTTAGCAGGCAAAGATTTATGTGTATGTACTCTTCAAAAAGTACAGTGAATAATAGTATTATAAATTTAAGAATTCTTTTTTAGTTGTAAATAATTATCAAGTGCTTGAAAAAATAAATTCAAATGTACTTTTCAGTCCAAAAAGGTATAGTTCAGCTGTGCTTTACCAAAACAATGTAATGAAATTTAAGTCACATTTTACGGAAGTCTTTCAATTGTTTTCAACTTTTTTGTGAAGTTCTTGAGGTACAAAACAGTTCAACAGTTTTCAATTTGAATGGATTTTGGTGCATTCGGTGGATGAAATGCTACCAAAGAAAGGTCAATGCTATCAACTTGAATGTACATGAAATATTAAGTGCCAGTCTTTGTAAGAATCAGGCAAATTAGAAAAATTTCAAAACATGGCCCAAAAAAAACCACGGACCTAACCACCCTATTTTGAAGGTACCCTCGTCCTGAGTTAGAAACGGTAGGTCTTTTGTTTCTGCGTGTCTGATAATTCAAGAATTATCTAGATAAATTTTGGTTAGAATGACAGCAAATTACAGAGTTATGTCCCCTTAATTCCTAATTTCTAGTGCATTTCAACCAAATTATATCTTGAATTACCAGAACAGGGAAAAGAAACGAATGTTATATTCATACACCACTTTACATTTTGAACATAAATTAATGTCAACTTGAGTGGGTTTTTGTTTGTCATTTTTTCACCACTGCCTGATTCTTAGGCAGATTGGTACTTAACAACAATAAATTTATCAACATTTTAAGAAAACAACAATAAATTTATCAAGTTATATTGTCCTTCCTGAAATTTATGATGGAAAATCTTGTTCATCAATAGCATATCATTTCCCTTGCACCAAACAGTACAAAGGTCCATTACTTGAGATTTGATATTTAAGAAGACATATGAGAAGAGGTTTAATGAACTTTACATAACTACATCATTGGTGTTTGTCTTGTTTACATAAAAAAACTTAAACTAAAAGAACAATCAAATGTACTATTCAGTCCAAAAAGGTATTGTTCAGCTGTGCTTTTCCAAAAAAATATAATGAAATTTACGTCACATTTTATGGAAGTCTTTCAATTTTTTTCAACTTTTTTGTGAAGTTCTTGAGGTACAAAACATTTCAACAGTTTTCAATTTGAATGGATTTTGGTGTATTCGGTGGATGAAATGCTTACCAAAGAAAGGTCAATGCTAACAACTTGAATGTACATGAAATATTAACAACAATAAATTTATCAACATATTAAGAAAACAACAATAAATTTATCAAGTTATATTGTCCTTTTAAGAAAAACACTTCTATCAATTATCTATTGAAAATCTTGTACATCAATAGCATATCATTTCCCTTGCACCAAACAGTACAACGGTCCATTACTTGAGGTCTGATATTTAAGAAGACATATGAGACGAGGTTTAATGAACTTTACATAACGTCATTGGTGTTTGACTTGTTTACATCCAAAAACTTAAACTAAAAGTACTAAAATTTTCATTTTCTACACAAATTAAGCCATCACACCCTTGTTTGTAAATACATCAGGAGGAATATATTGTGAGAAAGGGATAACATTTCAGGTTGTTTTCTCATTAAAATTCACTGCTAATTCATCCTTTATATTTATATCAAAATATTGTGGGAACCTGATATGTTGAAATGTTTTATCCTGTCTTATGCAACAGATTTGAAGCTTATTTTGATACAGGATCATTTCACTGTTTTGCATTTCATAATATCACTTCAACCTTGATTTGTCTATTCTATTGTTATACTGGACTTCAAAGGATATTTACCCTAACAACAACAGTACTAGAACATATGAAATTAAAACTTTAATAGCAATGTACATTGACAAACACAGCTTGCACATGCAAGAAGCCATTAATTTCTCATAATCTTTTTGGCAAGGACATAATTTTATTGTTGAAAGCTAATATTGAATACCAATTTATAATGGTGCAATGACCTCCCAATCACTTAAGACACTTAAAACACTTTCAATAGATTTGCTTTTTGCTGAAAACATCACAATAATTTAATATGCATTTTCTGCACAGTATTATTATTACTATTAAACCCCCATTTTACACCTCTTCGACTTCGGTTCACATAATTCTATTTAATATTTCTCAATACAAACACAATAGAAAAAGACCTAACATATTAAATACAACAGACGGCAGACCTGTTATTATTTTTTGTATTGTAATTCTAAAATAATACTGACGATGTAAATTGAGCAAACTTTTAAATCATCGTTAACTGACTATTGCTTTTTAGTACTTATTGCAGTGACACTTCTATATAAGTTGGATATACTATCTCTAAATTATGTTATATATAAATAAATACTTTTTAACTATATGTATGGTTAAGTTGGCTGTTTGTTTATTTATGTACCATGTAATGAATACAGCTTTTTAGCTAACTGTTATTTTTAAAGATATCTTTTTTTTTATTGAAGCTTGTTACATAGGTTGAATGAGATAAAGTTTGTTAAAGAGAATGCATGAAAATGGCAGTTAATGAGATTGATTGATTGATTGATTGATTGGTGTTTATTATTGTGCTATTTCGCAGCAGTCAGTTTTTATTGGTGGAGGAAGCCTGAGTGACAGGAGAGAACCACCGACCTTCGGTTGGAAAACTGACAATCCTAGTCAATTAATATTTGAGTGGAGTGCACCTGCCAGTGAGAGATTCAAACTCACAAACTCAGTGTTGACATGCTAGTGATACAGTAGTTTGACTACCTAGACCACTCTGCCACCAAGGCCCCATTAGATGAGAAAACCAGTTTGAATTAGGAAGTCCACAGAGTTTTCTTTTTCAATACACTTATGATTAAAACAGATGATCTTTATTTATGAATATTCATGTTTCTGCTTTGACCATGGATATTTCTCTTGATAAAGTTATACAGTATTGAAGACATCTGCAGATAAAGAAATAAGGTTGCAGTTTCAATTTTCATAACGTGAATGTCTATTCAATAATTTTGCTAAGAAATTTTTTTTTAGAGAAAAATAAATGGGGAATGTGTCCATGGGACACAGATGATGCCCCTGCTTGCATATCATATAAAGTTATAAATTTGTACTTGATCGGAGTTTTGTGGTAATAAGTATTGTGTATAAGTTTCATAAAATTTGGTTGAGGCAAGCTTAAGTTAGAGAACGGAAACAAACTTTGGGACGTACAGACGGACAAGGGTAAAACTTAATGCCCCCTCCGCTAAGGCGGGGGCATAAAAACTAGGCAAAAATTTTTGTATTTGCTAATTAAATATAAATGTAACTTTCCCTTCAGACATAATAATTAATATCTAAATATGTCTCATTAAAAACATTACAAATAGCTATTGTATGAAGATTATTTGTATGTTACTATTAAAGGAAAACTCTGGTCTAAATATATATCTAACCCTCAAGGAAATGTTATAGTCAAATTATGACACAGCAGAATAAAAACTGATGACTTCTTGTTGTAACTGGCAATACTAACACAACATCAGAAATGTACATCTTATGTCAGTAAGATTTATTTTTTTAAATTGTGGTCATGGGGATCAAAAGTTAAATGAAAACATGCTAACAATACTATTGTATGATAGAGTTCCACATTGCTTTATCTCAGGCATACAACTAAATGTATATCCAAGGAAAACCAAGGAAACTTTTAACATAACAGTTGCATAGTTGCATCAACAGTCTGCTTTTATGCATCAATTTGCATATACGTACAAATTTTTGGATCTCATGTTTGCGGTGTACCATCTTTTCCACAAGTTTATTGTTTTCTGTTTGGTTATAATTCAATAATAAGATCTGTTTTGTTACATCTTGTGATCCGTTTATTTGGCAATCGCCAATGGCAGTCAGCAGGGTTTAAGAACATCAGTTGTTCGACCTGCTAGTCAAATGCGTTTTGTTAAAATATACTTTTTCACTCATTTGGTCTTTTGGAAAATGTTGTTTGTCTATATTTAGACCCCTCTACCAAGAAATTTGTTTTGCATGTACACGTATAAAAATTGCGGTTTTTATCCAACGCAATCATAGGTTTGAACATTGTTTTCAATTTAGACTTGCATATAGATATATATATATATTAAAAGGCGATGTTGGAGGAAACATCAATTATACAGCAACACAACAGCTGAGCCGAAAACCAGAATGAAGATATATTTTTGTATGATAAGTTATATATTAGGATTTTTTTTTCAACTAATCAAAATCAAACTTTACCTAAAATCACAAAAAGTAAAAAAAAAAGACCAAATAGGTTAGGCAAACTGGTAGATGTTGACTGATCTAGGCCACTCTTTAAAATTCACAGCCAAAAGTTATGAACCA